CACACGCGTGCACACTTCTCCGAAAAGTCACGCAAACAAACACCCACGGGGTTTGCCATGCTCACCTGGCCACCACCACAGCCTCCTCCATCCACTCGTGTCATGGCGGATCGATCATCTTGTCTGTCCATCAAACGAGGTCCTAAAGAAAAGAAAGAGGTGCTACCGATCGATGTCATTTCGCTAATCAACCAGACTGAACGAGTCACATGGCAGTCCAACCCAGTTGTGTTACTCCATCACCATGGTACTGCCCATTGGTTTCTATCCGAGAAGAGATAGTATGGACTGAATTGCGAACACGCGGTAACGTCCGACCCTCCGCCTGCCCGATTCGAGTGGTCGAGAATGGTGCGCCTTGTTCTTCAGCCAATCCAGCTGATAAACCACTGTACGAAGAGACGGAAAAAGTGCGGCTCTAAAGGAGATCGAGATTGCATCCGTTTCGATAACATCATTGGTAGTCGCCCACCGTGGGGCTCGAACCCACGACCACAAGATTAAGAGTCTTGCGCTCTACCAACTGAGCTAGACAGGCTTCGCACACGCGTGCACACTTCTCCGAAAAATATCGCTAACAAACACCCACGGGGTTTGCCATGCTCACCTGGCCACCACCACAGCCTCCTCCATCCACTCGTGTCATGGCGGATCGATCATCTTGTCTGTCCATCAAACGAGGTCCTAAAGAAAGAAAGAGGTGCTACCGATCGATGTCATTTCGCTAATCAACCAGACTGAACGAGTCACATGGCAGTCCAACCCAGTTGTGTTACTCCATCACCATGGTACTGCCCATTGGTTTCTATCCGAGAAGAGATAGTATGGACTGAATTGCGAACACGCGGTAACGTCCGACCCTCCGCCTGCCCGATTCGAGTGGTCGAGAATGGTGCGCCTTGTTCTTCAGCCAATCCAGCTGATAAACCACTGTACGAAGAGACGGAAAAAGTGCGGCTCTAAAGGAGATCGAGATTGCATCCGTTTCGATAACATCATTGGTAGTCGCCCACCGTGGGGCTCGAACCCACGACCACAAGATTAAGAGTCTTGCGCTCTACCAACTGAGCTAGACAGGCTTCGCACACGCGTGCACACTTCTCCGAAAAATCACGCAAACAAACACCCACGGGGTTTGCCATGCTCACCTGGCCACCACCACAGCCTCCTCCATCCACTCGTGTCATGGCGGATCGATCATCTTGTCTGTCCATCAAACGAGGTCCTAAAGAAAGAAAGAAAGAGGTGCTACCGATCGATGTCATTTCGCTAATCAACCAGACTGAACGAGTCACATGGCAGTCCAACCGAGTTGTGTTACTCCATCACCATGGTACTGCCCATTGGTTTCTATCCGAGAAGAGATAGTATGGACTGAATTGCGAACACGCGGTAACGTCCGACCCTCCGCCTGCCCGATTCGAGTGGTCGAGAATGGTGCGCCTTGTTCTTCAGCCAATCCAGCTGATAAACCACTGTACGAAGAGACGGAAAAAGTGCGGCTCTAAAGGAGATCGAGATTGCATCCGTTTCGATAACATCATTGGTAGTCGCCCACCGTGGGGCTCGAACCCACGACCACAAGATTAAGAGTCTTGCGCTCTACCAACTGAGCTAGACAGGCTTCGCACACGCGTGCACACTTCTCCGAAAAATCTCGCTAACAAACACCCACGGGGTTTGCCATGCTCACCTGGCCACCACCACAGCCTCCTCCATCCACTCGTGTCATGGCGGATCGATCATCTTGTCTGTCCATCAAACGAGGTCCTAAAGAAAGAAAGAAAGAGGTGCTACCGATCGATGTCATTTCGCTAATCAACCAGACTGAACGAGTCACATGGCAGTCCAACCGAGTTGTGTTACTCCATCACCATGGTACTGCCCATTGGTTTCTATCCGAGAAGAGATAGTATGGACTGAATTGCGAACACGCGGTAACGTCCGACCCTCCGCCTGCCCGATTCGAGTGGTCGAGAATGGTGCGCCTTGTTCTTCAGCCAATCCAGCTGATAAACCACTGTACGAAGAGACGGAAAAAGTGCGGCTCTAAAGGAGATCGAGATTGCATCCGTTTCGATAACATCATTGGTAGTCGCCCACCGTGGGGCTCGAACCCACGACCACAAGATTAAGAGTCTTGCGCTCTACCAACTGAGCTAGACAGGCTTCGCACACGCGTGCACACTTCTCCGAAAAATCTCGCTAACAAACACCCACGGGGTTTGCCATGCTCACCTGGCCACCACCACAGCCTCCTCCATCCACTCGTGTCATGGCGGATCGATCATCTTGTCTGTCCATCAAACGAGGTCCTAAAGAAAGAAAGAAAGAGGTGCTACCGATCGATGTCATTTCGCTAATCAACCAGACTGAACGAGTCACATGGCAGTCCAACCCAGTTGTGTTACTCCATCACCATGGTACTGCCCATTGGTTTCTATCCGAGAAGAGATAGTATGGACTGAATTGCGAACACGCGGTAACGTCCGACCCTCCGCCTGCCCGATTCGAGTGGTCGAGAATGGTGCGCCTTGTTCTTCAGCCAATCCAGCTGATAAACCACTGTACGAAGAGACGGAAAAAGTGCGGCTCTAAAGGAGATCGAGATTGCATCCGTTTCGATAACATCATTGGTAGTCGCCCACCGTGGGGCTCGAACCCACGACCACAAGATTAAGAGTCTTGCGCTCTACCAACTGAGCTAGACAGGCTTCGCACACGCGTGCACACTTCTCCGAAAAATATCGCTAACAAACACCCACGGGGTTTGCCATGCTCACCTGGCCACCACCACAGCCTCCTCCATCCACTCGTGTCATGGCGGATCGATCATCTTGTCTGTCCATCAAACGAGGTCCTAAAGAAAGAAAGAAAGAGGTGCTACCGATCGATGTCATTTCGCTAATCAACCAGACTGAACGAGTCACATGGCAGTCCAACCCAGTTGTGTTACTCCATCACCATGGTACTGCCCATTGGTTTCTATCCGAGAAGAGATAGTATGGACTGAATTGCGAACACGCGGTAACGTCCGACCCTCCGCCTGCCCGATTCGAGTGGTCGAGAATGGTGCGCCTTGTTCTAGAGCCAATCCAGCTGATAAACCACTGTACGAAGAGACGGAAAAAGTGCGGCTCTAAAAGAGATCGGGACTGCATCCGTTTCGATCGCATCATTGGTAGTCGCCCACCGTGGGGCTCGAACCCACGACCACAAGATTAAGAGTCTTGCGCTCTACCGACTGAGCTAGACGGGCTTCGCACACGCGTGCACACTTCTCCGAAAAATCACGCAAACAAACACCCACGGGGTTTGCCATGCTCACCTGGCCACCACCACAGCCTCCTCCATCCACTCGTGTCATGGCGGATCGATCATCTTGTCTGTCCATCAAACGAGGTCCTAAAGAAAGAAAGAAAGAGGTGCTACCGATCGATGTCATTTCGCTAATCAACCAGACTGAACGAGTCACATGGCAGTCCAACCCAGTTGTGTTACTCCATCACCATGGTACTGCCCATTGGTTTCTATCCGAGAAGAGATAGTATGGACTGAATTGCGAACACGCGGTAACGTCCGACCCTCCGCCTGCCCGATTCGAGTGGTCGAGAATGGTGCGCCTTGTTCTTCAGCCAATCCAGCTGATAAACCACTGTACGAAGAGACGGAAAAAGTGCGGCTCTAAAGGAGATCGAGATTGCATCCGTTTCGATAACATCATTGGTAGTCGCCCACCGTGGGGCTCGAACCCACGACCACAAGATTAAGAGTCTTGCGCTCTACCAACTGAGCTAGACAGGCTTCGCACACGCGTGCACACTTCTCCGAAAAATCTCGCTAACAAACACCCACGGGGTTTGCCATGCTCACCTGGCCACCACCACAGCCTCCTCCATCCACTCGTGTCATGGCGGATCGATCATCTTGTCTGTCCATCAAACGAGGTCCTAAAGAAAGAAAGAAAGAGGTGCTACCGATCGATGTCATTTCGCTAATCAACCAGACTGAACGAGTCACATGGCAGTCCAACCCAGTTGTGTTACTCCATCACCATGGTACTGCCCATTGGTTTCTATCCGAGAAGAGATAGTATGGACTGAATTGCGAACACGCGGTAACGTCCGACCCTCCGCCTGCCCGATTCGAGTGGTCGAGAATGGTGCGCCTTGTTCTTCAGCCAATCCAGCTGATAAACCACTGTAACGAAGAGACGGAAAAAGTGCGGCTCTAAAGGAGATCGAGATTGCATCCGTTTCGATAACATCATTGGTAGTCGCCCACCGTGGGGCTCGAACCCACGACCACAAGATTAAGAGTCTTGCGCTCTACCAACTGAGCTAGACAGGCTTCGCACACGCGTGCACACTTCTCCGAAAAATATCGCTAACAAACACCCACGGGGTTTGCCATGCTCACCTGGCCACCACCACAGCCTCCTCCATCCACTCGTGTCATGGCGGATCGATCATCTTGTCTGTCCATCAAACGAGGTCCTAAAGAAAGAAAGAAAGAGGTGCTACCGATCGATGTCATTTCGCTAATCAACCAGACTGAACGAGTCACATGGCAGTCCAACCCAGTTGTGTTACTCCATCACCATGGTACTGCCCATTGGTTTCTATCCGAGAAGAGATAGTATGGACTGAATTGCGAACACGCGGTAACGTCCGACCCTCCGCCTGCCCGATTCGAGTGGTCGAGAATGGTGCGCCTTGTTCTTCAGCCAATCCAGCTGATAAACCACTGTACGAAGAGACGGAAAAAGTGCGGCTCTAAAGGAGATCGAGATTGCATCCGTTTCGATAACATCATTGGTAGTCGCCCACCGTGGGGCTCGAACCCACGACCACAAGATTAAGAGTCTTGCGCTCTACCAACTGAGCTAGACAGGCTTCGCACACGCGTGCACACTTCTCCGAAAAATCTCGCTAACAAACACCCACGGGGTTTGCCATGCTCACCTGGCCACCACCACAGCCTCCTCCATCCACTCGTGTCATGGCGGATCGATCATCTTGTCTGTCCATCAAACGAGGTCCTAAAGAAAGAAAAGAGGTGCTACCGATCGATGTCATTTCGCTAATCAACCAGACTGAACGAGTCACATGGCAGTCCAACCCAGTTGTGTTACTCCATCACCATGGTACTGCCCATTGGTTTCTATCCGAGAAGAGATAGTATGGACTGAATTGCGAACACGCGGTAACGTCCGACCCTCCGCCTGCCCGATTCGAGTGGTCGAGAATGGTGCGCCTTGTTCTTCAGCCAATCCAGCTGATAAACCACTGTACGAAGAGACGGAAAAAGTGCGGCTCTAAAGGAGATCGAGATTGCATCCGTTTCGATAACATCATTGGTAGTCGCCCACCGTGGGGCTCGAACCCACGACCACAAGATTAAGAGTCTTGCGCTCTACCAACTGAGCTAGACAGGCTTCGCACACGCGTGCACACTTCTCCGAAAAATCTCGCTAACAAACACCCACGGGGTTTGCCATGCTCACCTGGCCACCACCACAGCCTCCTCCATCCACTCGTGTCATGGCGGATCGATCATCTTGTCTGTCCATCAAACGAGGTCCTAAAGAAAGAAAGAAAGAGGTGCTACCGATCGATGTCATTTCGCTAATCAACCAGACTGAACGAGTCACATGGCAGTCCAACCGAGTTGTGTTACTCCATCACCATGGTACTGCCCATTGGTTTCTATCCGAGAAGAGATAGTATGGACTGAATTGCGAACACGCGGTAACGTCCGACCCTCCGCCTGCCCGATTCGAGTGGTCGAGAATGGTGCGCCTTGTTCTTCAGCCAATCCAGCTGATAAACCACTGTACGAAGAGACGGAAAAAGTGCGGCTCTAAAGGAGATCGAGATTGCATCCGTTTCGATAACATCATTGGTAGTCGCCCACCGTGGGGCTCGAACCCACGACCACAAGATTAAGAGTCTTGCGCTCTACCAACTGAGCTAGACAGGCTTCGCACACGCGTGCACACTTCTCCGAAAAATCTCGCTAACAAACACCCACGGGGTTTGCCATGCTCACCTGGCCACCACCACAGCCTCCTCCATCCACTCGTGTCATGGCGGATCGATCATCTTGTCTGTCCATCAAACGAGGTCCTAAAGAAAGAAAGAAAGAGGTGCTACCGATCGATGTCATTTCGCTAATCAACCAGACTGAACGAGTCACATGGCAGTCCGAACCGAGTTGTGTTACTCCATCACCATGGTACTGCCCATTGGTTTCTATCCGAGAAGAGATAGTATGGACTGAATTGCGAACACGCGGTAACGTCCGACCCTCCGCCTGCCCGATTCGAGTGGTCGAGAATGGTGCGCCTTGTTCTTCAGCCAATCCAGCTGATAAACCACTGTACGAAGAGACGGAAAAAGTGCGGCTCTAAAGGAGATCGAGATTGCATCCGTTTCGATAACATCATTGGTAGTCGCCCACCGTGGGGCTCGAACCCACGACCACAAGATTAAGAGTCTTGCGCTCTACCAACTGAGCTAGACAGGCTTCGCACACGCGTGCACACTTCTCCGAAAAATCACGCAAACAAACACCCACGGGGTTTGCCATGCTCACCTGGCCACCACCACAGCCTCCTCCATCCACTCGTGTCATGGCGGATCGATCATCTTGTCTGTCCATCAAACGAGGTCCTAAAGAAAGAAAGAAAGAGGTGCTACCGATCGATGTCATTTCGCTAATCAACCAGACTGAACGAGTCACATGGCAGTCCAACCCAGTTGTGTTACTCCATCACCATGGTACTGCCCATTGGTTTCTATCCGAGAAGAGATAGTATGGACTGAATTGCGAACACGCGGTAACGTCCGACCCTCCGCCTGCCCGATTCGAGTGGTCGAGAATGGTGCGCCTTGTTCTTCAGCCAATCCAGCTGATAAACCACTGTACGAAGAGACGGAAAAAGTGCGGCTCTAAAGGAGATCGAGATTGCATCCGTTTCGATAACATCATTGGTAGTCGCCCACCGTGGGGCTCGAACCCACGACCACAAGATTAAGAGTCTTGCGCTCTACCAACTGAGCTAGACAGGCTTCGCACACGCGTGCACACTTCTCCGAAAAATATCGCTAACAAACACCCACGGGGTTTGCCATGCTCACCTGGCCACCACCACAGCCTCCTCCATCCACTCGTGTCATGGCGGATCGATCATCTTGTCTGTCCATCAAACGAGGTCCTAAAGAAAGAAAGAAAGAGGTGCTACCGATCGATGTCATTTCGCTAATCAACCAGACTGAACGAGTCACATGGCAGTCCGAACCGAGTTGTGTTACTCCATCACCATGGTACTGCCCATTGGTTTCTATCCGAGAAGAGATAGTATGGACTGAATTGCGAACACGCGGTAACGTCCGACCCTCCGCCTGCCCGATTCGAGTGGTCGAGAATGGTGCGCCTTGTTCTTCAGCCAATCCAGCTGATAAACCACTGTACGAAGAGACGGAAAAAGTGCGGCTCTAAAGGAGATCGAGATTGCATCCGTTTCGATAACATCATTGGTAGTCGCCCACCGTGGGGCTCGAACCCACGACCACAAGATTAAGAGTCTTGCGCTCTACCAACTGAGCTAGACAGGCTTCGCACACGCGTGCACACTTCTCCGAAAAATATCGCTAACAAACACCCACGGGGTTTGCCATGCTCACCTGGCCACCACCACAGCCTCCTCCATCCACTCGTGTCATGGCGGATCGATCATCTTGTCTGTCCATCAAACGAGGTCCTAAAGAAAGAAAGAAAGAGGTGCTACCGATCGATGTCATTTCGCTAATCAACCAGACTGAACGAGTCACATGGCAGTCGAACCGAGTTGTGTTACTCCATCACCATGGTACTGCCCATTGGTTTCTATCCGAGAAGAGATAGTATGGACTGAATTGCGAACACGCGGTAACGTCCGACCCTCCGCCTGCCCGATTCGAGTGGTCGAGAATGGTGCGCCTTGTTCTTCAGCCAATCCAGCTGATAAACCACTGTACGAAGAGACGGAAAAAGTGCGGCTCTAAAAGGAGATCGAGATTGCATCCGTTTCGATAACATCATTGGTAGTCGCCCACCGTGGGGCTCGAACCCACGACCACAAGATTAAGAGTCTTGCGCTCTACCGACTGAGCTAGACGGGCTTCGCACACGCGTGCACACTTCTCCGAAAAATCTCGCTAACAAACACCCACGGGGTTTGCCATGCTCACCTGGCCACCACCACAGCCTCCTCCATCCACTCGTGTCATGGCGGATCGATCATCTTGTCTGTCCATCAAACGAGGTCCTAAAGAAAGAAAGAAAGAGGTGCTACCGATCGATGTCATTTCGCTAATCAACCAGACTGAACGAGTCACATGGCAGTCCAACCCAGTTGTGTTACTCCATCACCATGGTACTGCCCATTGGTTTCTATCCGAGAAGAGATAGTATGGACTGAATTGCGAACACGCGGTAACGTCCGACCCTCCGCCTGCCCGATTCGAGTGGTCGAGAATGGTGCGCCTTGTTCTTCAGCCAATCCAGCTGATAAACCACTGTACGAAGAGACGGAAAAAGTGCGGCTCTAAAGGAGATCGAGATTGCATCCGTTTCGATAACATCATTGGTAGTCGCCCACCGTGGGGCTCGAACCCACGACCACAAGATTAAGAGTCTTGCGCTCTACCAACTGAGCTAGACAGGCTTCGCACACGCGTGCACACTTCTCCGAAAAATATCGCTAACAAACACCCACGGGGTTTGCCATGCTCACCTGGCCACCACCACAGCCTCCTCCATCCACTCGTGTCATGGCGGATCGATCATCTTGTCTGTCCATCAAACGAGGTCCTAAAAAAGAAAGAAAGAGGTGCTACCGATCGATGTCATTTCGCTAATCAACCAGACTGAACGAGTCACATGGCAGTCCAACCCAGTTGTGTTACTCCATCACCATGGTACTGCCCATTGGTTTCTATCCGAGAAGAGATAGTATGGACTGAATTGCGAACACGCGGTAACGTCCGACCCTCCGCCTGCCCGATTCGAGTGGTCGAGAATGGTGCGCCTTGTTCTTCAGCCAATCCAGCTGATAAACCACTGTACGAAGAGACGGAAAAAGTGCGGCTCTAAAGGAGATCGAGATTGCATCCGTTTCGATAACATCATTGGTAGTCGCCCACCGTGGGGCTCGAACCCACGACCACAAGATTAAGAGTCTTGCGCTCTACCAACTGAGCTAGACAGGCTTCGCACACGCGTGCACACTTCTCCGAAAAATCTCGCTAACAAACACCCACGGGGTTTGCCATGCTCACCTGGCCACCACCACAGCCTCCTCCATCCACTCGTGTCATGGCGGATCGATCATCTTGTCTGTCCATCAAACGAGGTCCTAAAGAAAGAAAGAAAGAGGTGCTACCGATCGATGTCATTTCGCTAATCAACCAGACTGAACGAGTCACATGGCAGTCCAACCCAGTTGTGTTACTCCATCACCATGGTACTGCCCATTGGTTTCTATCCGAGAAGAGATAGTATGGACTGAATTGCGAACACGCGGTAACGTCCGACCCTCCGCCTGCCCGATTCGAGTGGTCGAGAATGGTGCGCCTTGTTCTTCAGCCAATCCAGCTGATAAACCACTGTACGAAGAGACGGAAAAAGTGCGGCTCTAAAGGAGATCGAGATTGCATCCGTTTCGATAACATCATTGGTAGTCGCCCACCGTGGGGCTCGAACCCACGACCACAAGATTAAGAGTCTTGCGCTCTACCAACTGAGCTAGACAGGCTTCGCACACGCGTGCACACTTCTCCGAAAAATCACGCAAACAAACACCCACGGGGTTTGCCATGCTCACCTGGCCACCACCACAGCCTCCTCCATCCACTCGTGTCATGGCGGATCGATCATCTTGTCTGTCCATCAAACGAGGTCCTAAAGAAAGAAAAAGGTGCTACCGATCGATGTCATTTCGCTAATCAAATAGACTGAACGAGTCACATGGCATTCCAACCCAGTTGTGTTACTACATCACCATGGTACTGCCCATTGGTTTCTATCCGAGAAGAGATAGTATGGACTGAATTGCGAACACGCGGTAACGTCCGACCCTCCGCCTGCCCGATTCGAGTGGTCGAGAATGGTGCGCCTTGTTCTAGAGCCAATCCAGCTGATAAACCACTGTACGAAGAGACGGAAAAAGTGCGGCTCTAAAGGAGATCGAGATTGCATCCGTTTCGATAACATCATTGGTAGTCGCCCACCGTGGGGCTCGAACCCACGACCACAAGATTAAGAGTCTTGCGCTCTACCAACTGAGCTAGACAGGCTTCGCACACGCGTGCACACTTCTCCGAAAAGTCACGCTAACAAACACCCACGGGGTTTGCCATGCTCACCTGGCCACCACCACAGCCTCCTCCATCCACTCGTGTCATGGCGGATCGATCATCTTGTCTGTCCATCAAACGAGGTCCTAAAGAAAGAAAGAAAGAGGTGCTACCGATCGATGTCATTTCGCTAATCAACCAGACTGAACGAGTCACATGGCAGTCGAACCGAGTTGTGTTACTCCATCACCATGGTACTGCCCATTGGTTTCTATCCGAGAAGAGATAGTATGGACTGAATTGCGAACACGCGGTAACGTCCGACCCTCCGCCTGCCCGATTCGAGTGGTCGAGAATGGTGCGCCTTGTTCTTCAGCCAATCCAGCTGATAAACCACTGTACGAAGAGACGGAAAAAGTGCGGCTCTAAAGGAGATCGAGATTGCATCCGTTTCGATAACATCATTGGTAGTCGCCCACCGTGGGGCTCGAACCCACGACCACAAGATTAAGAGTCTTGCGCTCTACCAACTGAGCTAGACAGGCTTCGCACACGCGTGCACACTTCTCCGAAAAATCACGCAAACAAACACCCACGGGGTTTGCCATGCTCACCTGGCCACCACCACAGCCTCCTCCATCCACTCGTGTCATGGCGGATCGATCATCTTGTCTGTCCATCAAACGAGGTCCTAAAGAAAGAAAGAAAGAGGTGCTACCGATCGATGTCATTTCGCTAATCAACCAGACTGAACGAGTCACATGGCAGTCGAACCGAGTTGTGTTACTCCATCACCATGGTACTGCCCATTGGTTTCTATCCGAGAAGAGATAGTATGGACTGAATTGCGAACACGCGGTAACGTCCGACCCTCCGCCTGCCCGATTCGAGTGGTCGAGAATGGTGCGCCTTGTTCTTCAGCCAATCCAGCTGATAAACCACTGTACGAAGAGACGGAAAAAGTGCGGCTCTAAAGGAGATCGAGATTGCATCCGTTTCGATAACATCATTGGTAGTCGCCCACCGTGGGGCTCGAACCCACGACCACAAGATTAAGAGTCTTGCGCTCTACCAACTGAGCTAGACAGGCTTCGCACACGCGTGCACACTTCTCCGAAAAATATCGCTAACAAACACCCACGGGGTTTGCCATGCTCACCTGGCCACCACCACAGCCTCCTCCATCCACTCGTGTCATGGCGGATCGATCATCTTGTCTGTCCATCAAACGAGGTCCTAAAGAAAGAAAGAAAGAGGTGCTACCGATCGATGTCATTTCGCTAATCAACCAGACTGAACGAGTCACATGGCAGTCGAACCGAGTTGTGTTACTCCATCACCATGGTACTGCCCATTGGTTTCTATCCGAGAAGAGATAGTATGGACTGAATTGCGAACACGCGGTAACGTCCGACCCTCCGCCTGCCCGATTCGAGTGGTCGAGAATGGTGCGCCTTGTTCTTCAGCCAATCCAGCTGATAAACCACTGTACGAAGAGACGGAAAAAGTGCGGCTCTAAAGGAGATCGAGATTGCATCCGTTTCGATAACATCATTGGTAGTCGCCCACCGTGGGGCTCGAACCCACGACCACAAGATTAAGAGTCTTGCGCTCTACCAACTGAGCTAGACAGGCTTCGCACACGCGTGCACACTTCTCCGAAAAATCACGCAAACAAACACCCACGGGGTTTGCCATGCTCACCTGGCCACCACCACAGCCTCCTCCATCCACTCGTGTCATGGCGGATCGATCATCTTGTCTGTCCATCAAACGAGGTCCTAAAAGAAAGAAAGAGGTGCTACCGATCGATGTCATTTCGCTAATCAACCAGACTGAACGAGTCACATGGCAGTCCAACCGAGTTGTGTTACTCCATCACCATGGTACTGCCCATTGGTTTCTATCCGAGAAGAGATAGTATGGACTGAATTGCGAACACGCGGTAACGTCCGACCCTCCGCCTGCCCGATTCGAGTGGTCGAGAATGGTGCGCCTTGTTCTTCAGCCAATCCAGCTGATAAACCACTGTACGAAGAGACGGAAAAAGTGCGGCTCTAAAGGAGATCGAGATTGCATCCGTTTCGATAACATCATTGGTAGTCGCCCACCGTGGGGCTCGAACCCACGACCACAAGATTAAGAGTCTTGCGCTCTACCAACTGAGCTAGACAGGCTTCGCACACGCGTGCACACTTCTCCGAAAAATATCGCTAACAAACACCCACGGGGTTTGCCATGCTCACCTGGCCACCACCACAGCCTCCTCCATCCACTCGTGTCATGGCGGATCGATCATCTTGTCTGTCCATCAAACGAGGTCCTAAAGAAAGAAAGAAAGAGGTGCTACCGATCGATGTCATTTCGCTAATCAACCAGACTGAACGAGTCACATGGCAGTCGAACCGAGTTGTGTTACTCCATCACCATGGTACTGCCCATTGGTTTCTATCCGAGAAGAGATAGTATGGACTGAATTGCGAACACGCGGTAACGTCCGACCCTCCGCCTGCCCGATTCGAGTGGTCGAGAATGGTGCGCCTTGTTCTTCAGCCAATCCAGCTGATAAACCACTGTACGAAGAGACGGAAAAAGTGCGGCTCTAAAGGAGATCGAGATTGCATCCGTTTCGATAACATCATTGGTAGTCGCCCACCGTGGGGCTCGAACCCACGACCACAAGATTAAGAGTCTTGCGCTCTACCAACTGAGCTAGACAGGCTTCGCACACGCGTGCACACTTCTCCGAAAAATCTCGCTAACAAACACCCACGGGGTTTGCCATGCTCACCTGGCCACCACCACAGCCTCCTCCATCCACTCGTGTCATGGCGGATCGATCATCTTGTCTGTCCATCAAACGAGGTCCTAAAGAAAGAAAGAAAGAGGTGCTACCGATCGATGTCATTTCGCTAATCAACCAGACTGAACGAGTCACATGGCAGTCGAACCGAGTTGTGTTACTCCATCACCATGGTACTGCCCATTGGTTTCTATCCGAGAAGAGATAGTATGGACTGAATTGCGAACACGCGGTAACGTCCGACCCTCCGCCTGCCCGATTCGAGTGGTCGAGAATGGTGCGCCTTGTTCTTCAGCCAATCCAGCTGATAAACCACTGTACGAAGAGACGGAAAAAGTGCGGCTCTAAAGGAGATCGAGATTGCATCCGTTTCGATAACATCATTGGTAGTCGCCCACCGTGGGGCTCGAACCCACGACCACAAGATTAAGAGTCTTGCGCTCTACCAACTGAGCTAGACAGGCTTCGCACACGCGTGCACACTTCTCCGAAAAATCACGCAAACAAACACCCACGGGGTTTGCCATGCTCACCTGGCCACCACCACAGCCTCCTCCATCCACTCGTGTCATGGCGGATCGATCATCTTGTCTGTCCATCAAACGAGGTCCTAAAGAAAGAAAGAGGTGCTACCGATCGATGTCATTTCGCTAATCAACCAGACTGAACGAGTCACATGGCAGTCGAACCGAGTTGTGTTACTCCATCACCATGGTACTGCCCATTGGTTTCTATCCGAGAAGAGATAGTATGGACTGAATTGCGAACACGCGGTAACGTCCGACCCTCCGCCTGCCCGATTCGAGTGGTCGAGAATGGTGCGCCTTGTTCTTCAGCCAATCCAGCTGATAAACCACTGTAACGAAGAGACGGAAAAAGTGCGGCTCTAAAGGAGATCGAGATTGCATCCGTTTCGATAACATCATTGGTAGTCGCCCACCGTGGGGCTCGAACCCACGACCACAAGATTAAGAGTCTTGCGCTCTACCAACTGAGCTAGACAGGCTTCGCACACGCGTGCACACTTCTCCGAAAAATCACGCAAACAAACACCCACGGGGTTTGCCATGCTCACCTGGCCACCACCACAGCCTCCTCCATCCACTCGTGTCATGGCGGATCGATCATCTTGTCTGTCCATCAAACGAGGTCCTAAAGAAAGAAAGAAAGAGGTGCTACCGATCGATGTCATTTCGCTAATCAACCAGACTGAACGAGTCACATGGCAGTCCAACCCAGTTGTGTTACTCCATCACCATGGTACTGCCCATTGGTTTCTATCCGAGAAGAGATAGTATGGACTGAATTGCGAACACGCGGTAACGTCCGACCCTCCGCCTGCCCGATTCGAGTGGTCGAGAATGGTGCGCCTTGTTCTTGAGCCAATCCAGCTGATAAACCACTGTAACGAAGAGACGGAAAAAGTGCGGCTCTAAAGGAGATCGAGATTGCATCCGTTTCGATAACATCATTGGTAGTCGCCCACCGTGGGGCTCGAACCCACGACCACAAGATTAAGAGTCTTGCGCTCTACCAACTGAGCTAGACGGGCTTCGCACACGCGTGCACACTTCTCCGAAAAATCTCGCTAACAAACACCCACGGGGTTTGCCATGCTCACCTGGCCACCACCACAGCCTCCTCCATCCACTCGTGTCATGGCGGATCGATCATCTTGTCTGTCCATCAAACGAGGTCCTAAAGAAAGAAAGAAAGAGGTGCTACCGATCGATGTCATTTCGCTAATCAACCAGACTGAACGAGTCACATGGCAGTCCAACCCAGTTGTGTTACTCCATCACCATGGTACTGCCCATTGGTTTCTATCCGAGAAGAGATAGTATGGACTGAATTGCGAACACGCGGTAACGTCCGACCTCTCCGCCTGCCCGATTCGAGTGGTCGAGAATGGTGCGCCTTGTTCTTGAGCCAATCCAGCTGATAAACCACTGTAACGAAGAGACGGAAAAAGTGCGGCTCTAAAAGAGATCGGGATTGCATCCGTTTCGATCACATCATTGGTAGTCGCCCACCGTGGGGCTCGAACCCCACGACCACAAGATTAAGAGTCTTGCGCTCTACCAACTGAGCTAGACAGGCTTCGCACACGCGTGCACACTTCTCCGAAAATATCACGCAAACAAACACCCACGGGGTTTTCCATGCTCACCTGGCCACCACCACAGCCTCCTCCATCCACTTGTGTCATGGCGGATCGATCATCTTGTCAAATGTCCATGAAAAGAGGTCCTGAAGAAAGAAAGAAAGAGGTGCTACCGATCGATGTCATTTCGCTAATCGACTAGTTAGAATGAACCACATGGTAGTCCAACCCAGTTGTGTTTCTCCATCACCATGGTACTGCCCATTGGTTTCTATCTGAGAAGAGATAGTATGGACTGAATCGCGAACACGCGGTAACGCCCGACTCGCAGCCTGCCCGATTCGAGTGGTCGAGAATGGTGCGCCTTGTTCTGGATCCAATCCAGCTGATAAATCACTGTAACGAAGAGACGGAAAAGTGCGGCTCTGAAAGAGAACGGGACTGCATCCGTTTCGATCATATCATTGGTAGTCGCCCACCGTGGGGCTCGAACCCACCCATGACCACAAGATTAAGAGTCTTGCGCTCTACCAACTGAGTTAGACGGGCTTCGCACACGCATGCATACTTCTCAAAAAAATCACGCAAGCAAACACCCACGGGGCTTGCCATGCTCACCTGTCCACCACCACAGCCTCCTTCATCCACTCGTGTCATGTCGGATCGATCATCTTGTCTGTCCATCAAACGAGGTCCTAAAGAAAGAAAGAGGTGCTACCGATCGATGTCATTTCTCGAATCAACCAGACTGAACGAGTCACATGGCATTCCAACCCAGTTGTGTTACTACATCACCATGGTACTGCCCATTGGTTTCTATCCGAGAAGAGATAGTATGGACTGAATTGCGAACACGCGGTAACGTCCGACCCTCAGCCTGCCCGATTCGAGTGGTCGAGAATGGTGCGCCTTGTTCTGGAGCCAATCCAGCTGATAAACCACTGTAACGAAGAGACGGAAAAAGTGCGGCTCTAGAAGAGAACGGGACTGCATCCGTTTCGATCACATCATTGGTAGTCGCCCACCGTGGGGCTCGAACCCACGACCACAAGATTAAGAGTCTTGCGCTCTACCAACTGAGCTAGACGGGCTTCGCACACGCACGCACACTTCTCCGAAAATTTCACGCAAACCAACACACACAGGCTTTTTCATGCTGACCTTTCCACCGCTACAGCCTCCTTCATCCACTTGTTTCATGGCAAATCGATCATCTTGTCTGTCCATCAAACGAGGTCCTGAAGAAAGAAAGAAAGAGGTGCTACCGATCGATGTCATTTCGCTAATCGACTAGTTAGAATGAACCACATGGTAGTCCAACCCAGTTGTGTTTCTCCATCACCATGGTACTGCCCATTGGTTTCTATCCGAGAAGAGATAGTATGGACTGAATTGCGAACACGCGGTAACGTCCGACCCTCAGCCTGCCCGATTCGAGTGGTCGAGAATGGTGCGCCTTGTTCTGGAGCCAATCCAGCTGATAAACCACTGTAACGAAGAGACGGAAAAAGTGCGGCTCTGAAAGAGAACGGGACTGCATCCGTTTCGATCATATCATTGGTAGTCGCCCATCGTGGGGCTCGAACCCACCCATGACCACAAGATTAAGAGTCTTGCGCTCTACCAACTAAGCTATACGGGCTTCGCACACGCATGCACACTTCTCCGAAAAATCACGCAAACAAACACCCACGGGACTTGCCATGCTCACCTGTCCACCACCACAGCCTCCTTCATCCACTCGTGTCATGGCGGATCGATCATCTTGTCTGTCCATCGAACGAGGTCCTAAAGAAAGAAAGGGGTGCTACCGATCGATGTCATTTCTCGAATCAACCAGACTGAACGAGTCACATGGCAGTCCAACCCAGTTGTGTTACTACATCACCATGGTACTGCCCATTGGTTTCTATCTGAGAAGAGATAGTATGGACTGGGTTGCGAACACGCGGTAACGCCCGACTCGCAGCCTGCCCGATTCGAGTGGTCGAGAATGGTGCGCCTTGTTCTGGAGCCAATCCAGCTGATAAACCACTGTAACGAAGAGACGGAAAAAGTGCGGCTCTAGAAGAGAACGGGACTGCATCCGTTTCGATCATATCATTGGTAGTCGCCCATCGTGGGGCTCGAACCCACCCATGACCACAAGATTAAGAGTCTTGCGCTCTACCAACTGAGCTAGACGGGCTTCGCACACGCATGCACACTTCTCAAAAAAATCACGCAAACAAACACCCACGGGACTTGCCATGCTCACCTGTCCACCACCACAGCCTCCTTCATCCACTCGTGTCATGGCGGATCGATCATCTTGTCTGTCCATCAAACGAGGTCCTAAAGAAAGAAAGAGGTGCTACTGATCGATGTCATTTCTCGAATCAACCAGACTGAACGAGTCACATGGCAATCCAACCCAGTTGTGTTTCTCCATCACCATGGTACTGCCCATTGGTTTCTATCTGAGAAGAGATAGTATGGACTGGGTTGCGAACACGCGGTAACGCCCGACTCTCAGCCTGCCCGATTCGAGTGGTCGAGAATGGTGCGCCTTGTTCTGCATCCAATCCAGCTGATAAACCACTGTAACGAAGAGACGAAAAAGTGCGGCTCTGAAAGAGAACGGGACTGCATCCGTTTCGATCATATCATTGGTAGTCGCCCATCGTGGGGCTCGAACCCACCCATGACCACAAGATTAAGAGTCTTGCGCTCTACCGACTGAGTTAGACGGGCTTCGCACACGCATGCACACTTCTCAAAAAATCACGCAAACAAACATCCACGGGACTTGCCATGCTCACCTGTCCACCACCACAGCCTCCTTCATCCACTCGTGTCATGGCGGATCGATCATCTTGTCTGTCCATCAAACGAGGTCTTAAAGAAAGAAAGAGGTGCTACCGATCGATGTCATTTCTCGAATCAACCAGACTGAACGAGTCACATGGCAGTCCAACCCAGTTGTGTTACTACATCACCATGGTACTGCCCATTGGTTTCTATCTGAGAAGAGATAGTATGGACTGGGTTGCGAACACGCGGTAACGCCCGACTCGCAGCCTGCCCGATTCGAGTGGTCGAGAATGGTGCGCCTTGTTCTGGAGCCAATCCAGCTGATAAACCACTGTAACGAAGAGACGGAAAAAGTGCGGCTCTAGAAGAGAACGGGACTGCATCCGTTTCGATAACATCATTGGTAGTCGCCCACCGTGGGGCTCGAACCCACCCATGACCACAAGATTAAGAGTCTTGCGCTCTACCAACTGAGTTAGACGGGCTTCGCACACGCATGCACACTTCTCAAAAAATCACGCAAACAAACACCCACGGGACTTGCCATGCTCACCTGTCCACCACCACAGCCTCCTTCATCCACTCGTGTCATGGCGGATCGATCATCTTGTCTGTCCATCAAACGAGGTCCTAAAGAAAGAAAGAGGTGCTACCGATCGATGTCATTTCTCGAATCAACCAGACTGAACGAGTCACATGGCAGTCCAACCCAGTTGTGTTACTACATCACCATGGTACTGCCCATTGGTTTCTATCTGAGAAGAGATAGTATGGACTGGGTTGCGAACACGCGGTACCGCCCGACTCGCAGCCTGCCCGATTCGAGTGGTCGAGAATGGTGCGCCTTGTTCTGGAGCCAATCCAGCTGATAAACCACTGTAACGAAGAGACGGAAAAAGTGCGGCTCTAGAAGAGAACGGGACTGCATCCGTTTCGATCATATCATTGGTAGTCGCCCATCGTGGGGCTCGAACCCACCCATGACCACAAGATTAAGAGTCTTGCGCTCTACCAACTAAGCTATACGGGCTTCGCACACGCATGCACACTTCTCCGAAAAATCACGCAAACAAACACCCACGGGACTTGCCATGCTCACCTGTCCACCACCACAGCCTCCTTCATCCACTCGTGTCATGTCGGATCGATCATCTTGTCTGTCCATCGAACGAGGTCCTAAAGAAAGAAAGGGGTGCTACCGATCGATGTCATTTCGCTAATCAACCATACTGAACGAGTCACATGGCAGTCCAACCCAGTTGTGTTACTACATCACCATGGTACTGCCCATTGGTTTCTATCTGAGAAGAGATAGTATGGACTGGGTTGCGAACACGCGGTACCGCCCGACTCGCAGCCTGCCCGATTCGAGTGGTCGAGAATGGTGCGCCTTGTTCTGGAGCCAATCCAGCTGATAAACCACTGTAACGAAGAGACGGAAAAAGTGCGGCTCTAGAAGAGAACGGGACTGCATCCGTTTCGATCATATCATTGGTAGTCGCCCATCGTGGGGCTCGAACCCACCCATGACCACAAGATTAAGAGTCTTGCGCTCTACCAACTGAGTTAGACGGGCTTCGCACACGCATGCATACTTCTCAAAAAAATCACGCAAGCAAACACCCACGGGACTTGCCATGCTCACCTGTCCACCACCACAGCCTCCTTCATCCACTCGTGTCATGGCGGATCGATCATCTTGTCTGTCCATCAAACGAGGTCCTAAAGAAAGAAAGGGGTGCTACCGATCGATGTCATTTCGCTAATCAACCAGACTGAACGAGTCACATGGCAGTCCAACCCAGTTGTGTTACTACATCACCATGGTACTGCCCATTGGTTTCTATCTGAGAAGAGATAGTATGGACTGGGTTGCGAACACGCGGTAACGCCCGACTCGCAGCCTGCCCGATTCGAGTGGTCGAGAATGGTGCGCCTTGTTCTGGAGCCAATCCAGCTGATAAACCACTGTAACGAAGAGACGGAAAAAGTGCGGCTCTAGAAGAGAACGGGACTGCATCCGTTTCGATCATATCATTGGTAGTCGCCCATCGTGGGGCTCGAACCCACCCATGACCACAAGATTAAGAGTCTTGCGCTCTACCAACTAAGCTATACGGGCTTTGCACACGCATGCACACTTCTCCGAAAAATCACGCAAACAAACACCCACGGGACTTGCCATGCTCACCTGTCCACCACCACAGCCTCCTTCATCCACTCGTGTCATGGCGGATCGATCATCTTGTCTGTCCATCAAACGAGGTCCTAAAGAAAGAAAGAGGTGCTACTGATCGATGTCATTTCGCGAATCAACCAGACTGAACGAGTCACATGGCAGTCCAACCCAGTTGTGTTACTACATCACCATGGTACTGCCCATTGGTTTCTATCTGAGAAGAGATAGTATGGACTGGGTTGCGAACACGCGGTAACGCCCGACTCGCAGCCTGCCCGATTCGAGTGGTCGAGAATGGTGCGCCTTGTTCTGGAGCCAATCCAGCTGATAAACCACTGTAACGAAGAGACGGAAAAAGTGCGGCTCTAGAAGAGAACGGGACTGCATCCGTTTCGATCATATCATTGGTAGTCGCCCATCGTGGGGCTCGAACCCACGACCACAAGATTAAGAGTCTTGCGCTCTACCAACTGAGCTAGACGGGCTTCGCACACGCATGCACACTTCTCCGAAAAATCACGCAAACAAACACCCACGGGACTTGCCATGCTCACCTGTCCACCACCACAGCCTCCTTCATCCACTCGTGTCATGGCGGATCGATCATCTTGTCTGTCCATCAAACGAGGTCCTAAAGAAAGAAAGAGGTGCTACCGATCGATGTCATTTCGCTAATCAACCATACTGAACGAGTCACATGGCAGTCCAACCCAGTTGTGTTACTACATCACCATGGTACTGCCCATTGGTTTCTATCTGAGAAGAGATAGTATGGACTGGGTTGCGAACACGCGGTAACGCCCGACTCGCAGCCTGCCCGATTCGAGTGGTCGAGAATGGTGCGCCTTGTTCTGGAGCCAATCCAGCTGATAAACCACTGTAACGAAGAGACGGAAAAAGTGCGGCTCTAGAAGAGAACGGGACTGCATCCGTTTCGATCATATCATTGGTAGTCGCCCATCGTGGGGCTCGAACCCACTCATGACCACAAGATTAAGAGTCTTGCGCTCTACCAACTGAGTTAGACGGGCTTCGCACACGCATGCACACTTCTCAAAAAATCACGCAAACAAACATCCACGGGACTTGCCATGCTCACCTGTCCACCACCACAGCCTCCTTCATCCACTCGTGTCATGGCGGATCGATCATCTTGTCTGTCCATCAAACGAGGTCTTAAAGAAAGAAAGAGGTGCTACTGATCGCTGTCATTTCGCTAATCAACCAGACTGAACGAGTCACATGGCAGTCCAACCCAGTTGTGTTACTACATCACCATGGTACTGCCCATTGGTTTCTATCTGAGAAGAGATAGTATGGACTGGGTTGCGAACACGCGGTAACGTCCGACTCGCAGCCTGCCCGATTCGAGTGGTCGAGAATGGTGCGCCTTGTTCTGGAGCCAATCCAGCTGATAAACCACTGTAACGAAGAGACGGAAAAAGTGCGGCTCTAAAGAGAACGGGACTGCATCCGTTTCGATAACATCATTGGTAGTCGCCCACCGTGGGGCTCGAACCCACGACCACAAGATTAAGAGTCTTGCGCTCTACCAACTGAGCTAGACAGGCTTCGCACACGCGCGCACACTTCTCCGAAAAATCACGCAAACAAACACCCACGGGGTTTGCCATGCTCACCTGTCCACCACCACAGCCTCCTTCATCCACTCGTGTCATGGCGGATCGATCATCTTGTCTGTCCATCAAACGAGGTCCTAAAGAAAGAAAGAGGTGCTACCGATCGATGTCATTTCGCTAATCAACCAGACTGAACGAGTCACATGGCAGTCCAACCCAGTTGTGTTACTACATCACCATGGTACTGCCCATTGGTTTCTATCTGAGAAGAGATAGTATGGACTGGGTTGCGAACACGCGGTAACGCCCGACTCTCAGCCTGCCCGATTCGAGTGGTCGAGAATGGTGCGCCTTGTTCTGGAGCCAATCCAGCTGATAAACCACTGTAACGAAGAGACGGAAAAAGTGCGGCTCTAAAGAGATCGGGACTGCATCCGTTTCGATAACAGCAATGGTAGTCGCCCACCGTGTGGCTCGAACCCACGACCACAAGATTAAGAGTCTTGCGCTCTACCAACTGAGCTAGACAGGCTTCGCACACGCATGCACACTTCTCCGAAAAATCACGCAAACAAACACCCACGGGGTTTGCCATGCTCACCTGTCCACCACCACAGCCTCCTCCATCCACTCGTGTCATGGCGGATCAATCATCTTGTCTGTCCATCAAACGAGGTCCTAAAGAAAGAAAGAGGTGCTACCGATCGATGTCATGTCGCTAATCAACCAGACTGAACGAGTCACATGGCAGTCCAACCCAGTTGTGTTACTACATCACCATGGTACTGCCCATTGGTTTCTATCCGAGAAGAGATAGTATGGACTGAGTTGCGAACACGCGGTAACGTCCGACCCTCAGCCTGCCCGATTCGAGTGGTCGAGAATGGTGCGCCTTGTTCTAGAGCCAATCCAGCTGATAAACCACTGTAACGAAGAGACGGAAAAAGTGCGGCTCTAAAGGAGATCGGGACTGCATCCGTTTCGATAACATCATTGGTAGTCGCCCACCGTGGGGCTCGAACCCACGACCACAAGATTAAGAGTCTTGCGCTCTACCGACTGAGCTAGACGGGCTTCGCACACGCGTGCACACTTCTCCGAAAAATCACGCAAACAAACACCCACGGGGTTTGCCATGCTCACCTGGCCACCACCACAGCCTCCTCCATCCACTCGTGTCATGGCGGATCGATCATCTTGTCTGTCCATCAAACGAGGTCCTAAAGAAAGAAAGAGGTGCTACCGATCGATGTCATTTCGCTAATCAACCAGACTGAACGAGTCACATGGCAGTCCAACCCAGTTGTGTTACTCCATCACCATGGTACTGCCCATTGGTTTCTATCTGAGAAGAGATAGTATGGACTGGGTTGCGAACACGCGGTAACGTCCGACCCTCAGCCTGCCCGATTCGAGTGGTCGAGAATGGTGCGCCTTGTTCTGGAGCCAATCCAGCTGATAAACCACTGTAACGAAGAGACGGAAAAAGTGCGGCTCTAAAGAGATCGGGACTGCATCCGTTTCGATAACATCATTGGTAGTCGCCCACCGTGGGGCTCGAACCCACGACCACAAGATTAAGAGTCTTGCGCTCGACCAACTGAGCTAGACAGGCTTCGCACACGCGCGCACACTTCTCCGAAAAATCACGCAAACAAACATCCACGGGGTTTGCCATGCTCACCTGGCCACCACCACAGCCTCCTCCATCCACTCGTGTCATGGCGGATCGATCATCTTGTCAGTCCATCGAACGAGGTCCAAAAGAAAGAAAGAGGTGCTACCGATCGATGTCATTTCGATGATCAACCAGACTGAACGAGTCACATGGCAGTCCAATCCAGTTGTGTTACTACATCACCATGGTACTGCCCATTGGTTTCTATCCGAGAAGAGATAGTATGGACTGGGTTGCGAACACGCGGTAACGTCCGACCCTCAGCCTGCCCGATTCGAGTGGTCGAGAATGGTGCGCCTTGTTCTGGAGCCAATCCAGCTGATAAACCACTGTAACGAAGAGACGGAAAAAGTGCGGCTCTAAAGAGATCGGGACTGCATCCGTTTCGATCGCATCATTGGTAGTCGCCCACCGTGGGGCTCGAACCCACGACCACAAGATTAAGAGTCTTGCGCTCTACCAACTGAGCTAGACAGGCTTCGCACACGCGTGCACACTTCTCCGAAAAATCACGCAAACAAACACCCACGGGGTTTGCCATGCTCACCTGTCCTCCACCACAGCCTCCTCCATCCACTCGTGTCATGGCGGATCGATCATCTTGTCTGTCCATCAAACGAGGTCCTAAAGAAAGAAAGAGGTGCTACCGATCGATGTCATTTCGCTAATCAACCAGACTGAACGAGTCACATGGCAGTCCAACCCAGTTGTGTTACTCCATCACCATGGTACTGCCCATTGGTTTCTATCTGAGAAGAGATAGTATGGACTGGGTTGCGAACACGCGGTAACGTCCGACCCTCAGCCTGCCCGATTCGAGTGGTCGAGAATGGTGCGCCTTGTTCTAGAGCCAATCCAGCTGATAAACCACTGTAACGAAGAGACGGAAAAAGTGCGGCTCTAAAGAGATCGGGACTGCATCCGTTTCGATCGCATCATTGGTAGTCGCCCACCGTGGGGCTCGAACCCACGACCACAAGATTAAGAGTCTTGCGCTCTACCAACTGAGCTAGACAGGCTTCGCACACGCGTGCACACTTCTCCGAAAAATCACGCAAACAAACACCCACGGGGTTTGCCATGCTCACCTGGCCACCACCACAGCCTCCTCCATCCACTCGTGTCATGGCGGATCGATCATCTTGTCAGTCCATCAAACGAGGTCCTAAAGAAAGAAAGAGGTGCAGCTCACCGATGTCATTTCGATGATCAACCAGACTGAACGAGTCACATGGCAGTCCAACCCAGTTGTGTTACTACATCACCATGGTACTGCCCATTGGTTTCTATCCGAGAAGAGATAGTATGGACTGAATTGCGAACACGCGGTAACGTCCGACCCTCAGCCTGCCCGATTCGAGTGGTCGAGAATGGTGCGCCTTGTTCTGGAGCCAATCCAGCTGATAAACCACTGTAACGAAGAGACGAAAAAGTGCGGCTCTAAAGACAACGGGACTGCATCCGTTTCGATCACATCATTGGTAGTCGCCCACCGTGGGGCTCGAACCCACGACCACAAGATTAAGAGTCTTGCGCTCTACCAACTGAGCTAGACAGGCTTCGCACACGCGTGCACACTTCTCCGAAAAATCACGCAAACAAACACCCACGGGGTTTGCCATGCTCACCTGGCCACCACCACAGCCTCCTCCATCCACTCGTGTCATGGCGGATCGATCATCTTGTCTGTCCATCAAACGAGGTCCTAAAGAAAGAAAGAGGTGCTACCGATCGATGTCATGTCGCTAATCAACCAGACTGAACGAGTCACATGGCAGTCCAACCCAGTTGTGTTACTCCATCACCATGGTACTGCCCATTGGTTTCTATCCGAGAAGAGATAGTATGGACTGAATTGCGAACACGCGGTAACGTCCGACCCTCAGCCTGCCCGATTCGAGTGGTCGAGAATGGTGCGCCTTGTTCTGGAGCCAATCCAGCTGATAAACCACTGTAACGAAGAGACGGAAAAAGTGCGGCTCTAAAAGAGATCGGGACTGCATCCGTTTCGATCACATCATTGGTAGTCGCCCACCGTGGGGCTCGAACCCACGACCACAAGATTAAGAGTCTTGCGCTCTACCGACTGAGCTAGACGGGCTTCGCACACGCGTGCACACTTCTCCGAAAAATCACGCAAACAAACACCCACGGGGTTTGCCATGCTCACCTGGCCACCACCACAGCCTCCTCCATCCACTCGTGCCATGGCGGATCGATCATCTTGTCTGTCCATCAAACGAGGTCCTAAAGAAAGAAAAAGGTGCTACCGACCGATGTCATGTCGCTAATCAACCAGACTGAACGAGTCACATGGCAGTCGAACCGAGTTGTGTTACTACATCACCATGGTACTGCCCATTGGTTTCTATCTGAGAAGAGATAGTATGGACTGAATTGCGAACACGCGGTAACGTCCGACCCTCAGCCTGCCCGATTCGAGTGGTCGAGAATGGTGCGCCTTGTTCTGGAGCCAATCCAGCTGATAAACCACTGTAACGAAGAGACGGAAAAAGTGCGGCTCTAAAAGAGATCGGGACTGCATCCGTTTCTATCGCATCATTGGTAGTCGCCCATCGTGGGGCTCGAACCCACGACCACAAGATTAAGAGTCTTGCGCTCGACCAACTGAGCTAGACAGGCTTCGCACACGCGCGCACACTTGTCCAAAAAATCACGCAAACAAACACCCACGGGGTTTGCCATGCTCACCTGGCCACCACCACAGCCTCCTCCATCCACTCGTGTCATGGCGGATCGATCATCTTGTCAGTCCATCAAACGAGGTCCTAAAGAAAGAAAGAGGTGCAGCTCACCGATGTCATTTCGATGATCAACCAGACTGAACGAGTCACATGGCAGTCCAACCCAGTTGTGTTACTACATCACCATGGTACTGCCCATTGGTTTCTATCTGAGAAGAGATAGTATGGACTGAATTGCGAACACGCGGTAACGTCCGACCCTCAGCCTGCCCGATTCGAGTGGTCGAGAATGGTGCGCCTTGTTCTTCAGCCAATCCAGCTGATAAACCACTGTAACGAAGAGACGGAAAAAGTGCGGCTCTGAAAGAGATCGGGACTGCATCCGTTTCGATCACATCATTGGTAGTCGCCCACCGTGGGGCTCGAACCCACGACCACAAGATTAAGAGTCTTGCGCTCTACCAACTGAGCTAGACAGGCTTCGCACACGCGTGCACACTTCTCCGAAAAATCACGCAAACAAACACCCACGGGGTTTGCCATGCTCACCTGGCCACCACCACAGCCTCCTCCATCCACTCGTGTCATGGCGGATCGATCATCTTGTCTGTCCATCAAACGAGGTCCTAAAGAAAGAAAGAAAGAGGTGCTACCGATCGATGTCATTTCGATAATCAAATAGACTGAACGAGTCACATGGCAGTCCAACCCAGTTGTGTTACTCCATCACCATGGTACTGCCCATTGGTTTCTATCCGAGAAGAGATAGTATGGACTGAATTGCGAACACGCGGTAACGTCCGACTCTCAGCCTGCCCGATTCGAGTGGTCGAGAATGGTGCGCCTTGTTCTAGAGCCAATCCAGCTGATAAACCACTGTACGAAGAGACGGAAAAAGTGCGGCTCTAAAAGAGATCGGGACTGCATCCGTTTCGATCACATCATTGGTAGTCGCCCACCGTGGGGCTCGAACCCACGACCACAAGATTAAGAGTCTTGCGCTCTACCGACTGAGCTAGACGGGCTTCGCACACGCGTGCACACTTCTCCGAAAAATCACGCAAACAAACACCCACGGGGTTTGCCATGCTCACCTGGCCACCACCACAGCCTCCTCCATCCACTCGTGTCATGGCGGATCGATCATCTTGTCTGTCCATCAAACGAGGTCCTAAAGAAAGAAAGAGGTGCTACCGATCGATGTCATTTCGCTAATCAACCAGACTGAACGAGTCACATGGCAGTCCAACCCAGTTGTGTTACTCCATCACCATGGTACTGCCCATTGGTTTCTATCTGAGAAGAGATAGTATGGACTGGGTTGCGAACACGCGGTAACGTCCGACTCTCAGCCTGCCCGATTCGAGTGGTCGAGAATGGTGCGCCTTGTTCTGGAGCCAATCCAGCTGATAAACCACTGTAACGAAGAGACGGAAAAAGTGCGGCTCTAAAGGAGATCGGGACTGCATCCGTTTCGATAACATCATTGGTAGTCGCCCACCGTGGGGCTCGAACCCACGACCACAAGATTAAGAGTCTTGCGCTCTACCGACTGAGCTAGACGGGCTTCGCACACGCGTGCACACTTCTCCGAAAAATCACGCAAACAAACACCCACGGGGTTTGCCATGCTCACCTGGCCACCACCACAGCCTCCTCCATCCACTCGTGTCATGGCGGATCGATCATCTTGCCTGTCCATCAAACGAGGTCCTAAAGAAAGAAAGAAAGAGGTGCTACCGATCGATGTCATGTCGCTAATCAACCAGACTGAACGAGTCACATGGCAGTCCAACCCA